TAGTAGGTAACAAATACAAACTGTAGAGAAATCCAAATTTCTTACAAGAAACTATATACCTTTTCAATTATTGACATTTAATATTTCATTAGTTCTAAAGGACCGAATTTGATTCCATGCAAAATCGGGGTACTAATAAAATCTACATGTTTTAACTGTCTTTGAAGTGGGAACTTTCTCCATGATAAAATTCAGTGTAGCCCATAGACAAGTGTGTCAGTGTAGCCCATAGCTCTATGGTGTAGCCCATTACCGTGCTATATGAAAAGTAGAAGCATATACTTTTAACGACCACCATAAAAAAACAATGTTTTGCTAAGCTTTAGATGTTTATTGTCAAATAAAATGTTTTCTAGTTTGGCCACCCAAAATACTATCCTAAACTGTGTTGCATATAGTTTAAAATAGTATTCGTTGACCTATAAATATGTATAGGGTTCCGTTTAAAACAGAAGTAATTAGCGGTAGACTTTTATTCTTACTTAAGAATTTCAAGGACCTGCTTGGTGTACGTGTAAGAGAGAGAAAGTGAACCTGTTAAATTTTTAAAATAGCTCAGTTCTAAATACAATCGCAAAACAAATTTTTGTGATATGTGTTGACCATCACTCATCAAAATGATCGTGTATATTTCGTAAGAATTTCGAGTAGGGCGGTGAGAAATACGTTTTATTTGCTGTTCAGATGATAGAAAACTTTTAGAAAGCAGTCAGTGTATTCAAAAGTAATTTGGAGAAGATTTGAGATATAAAGGAGGAAGAACAAACCAACTTAATGGCCAAATTGTCATTTTATACGTACATTGTGGATAAAATGCTGTGGGGTTATCTCGGAAACAGTGGTGGATAGAAAAGGAACTGATGTATGTTCCTTAGTCCTGATTTTAAAGAGAGAAGAGAGAGAAAAGTTACTCAAACCGCGGCTTATTTTCTTTTGTTTAAGAAATATAGAGCATTTCTGAAAATATGGCAATTTTGACTAACCCTCATTACTCACAATCAGTAACGGATCAAAAGACAGCAAAAACTTTATTAAAATATTTTTTTGAGAAGAATACAGTGTGACAAAAGAAAAAAATTCCGAGACCATGAAAAATGTAAAAAAAATCCATAAAGTTTTCAAATTTTATATTCAAATCTATGCAGTTCTGATTCTGAACAGTACCTACTAGTTCGTGATCTGCAGTCTTATTTTGGGAAAATCTTGCGTAATGGCTAGAAATTTTTATAAAGATATTTGCAAGTATGCTTTAGTTAGGTAGAAATTTGTTGTGTAATCAATATTAAACTCATTTGTAGAAAGCTATCTTTATCTACACTATTAAATCCATTGTAGGATTACGTTTTGTCCAGGCATCTTAAATGTATTTTCTTTTCATTTTTAAATTTATTGCTACTAAGATAAGACTTGTAGGAACAGGTAAACAAGCCCTTAAATTACCGTAACATTAAAACGTAATCTCTTCATAAATAAACAAGTAAAAGAAATATTTACTGAGAAAAAGTTTGTCTCCTAGGTAGATAGTTACATCAAGGACTAACCAATATAGAGAAATCTAGTTCATATTTATTTCTCTCCGTGACGAATATCTGACCACATACAAGCGATTATCGCATTAAAAAAATGTTTACTGTTCTCGGGAAGGGAGATGTAAGTGCTCTTTCCAAGAACTTATCATTACAGCTTTAGGAAAAGCTATGTATGTCGCTTTGTGTCGCAAAATTAATTTGAAAAATTTTTAATATATATATATATATATATATTTTGATGATTGATATTTTTCCAAGAATCCTCGCAAGAATCTAATATTAGAGATTGCAATATAATTTCCCTAAGTATAACAAACAAACATTATTGATATTTTATAACGGGTTCTCTAGGTAATTATACTTAATGGAAATTGTTCAAGTTTTACTTCGAAATGTACTTCTTTCTAAGTCTCAATTTTTATGTAGGGTTGACCAAACTTTAAAAGCGGGTACTACACCAGAATTTAATAAAAAAAAGTTGTGTTCATCCAGAAAAACTTCATTTTACAGGGACGTAGTTCCGTAAGTGGTCTCAATAATTTTCGCTTCTATTTTCTTCTTATTTTTGGGGTGTGAACTTTTGCTTTTAATCTACGTATGGTGTTGTACAGTGTTTTTTTAAAGTTACAACTCCTACAAAATTGATGTATGGTGAGAATATGCGTTCATAACTTTTTCCTCTTTCGGGCAATAGTGACAGCTATTTTTTATTTGAAAGTTTTTGGGCCTTTTGCAGAATTTTGATTAAATGAGCGGTTTGGGTACAAAAAATATTTTTTGAATGTCTACATTATCTTGCCACCCATATTGCAATACTTAACACTGATGTGATGACTTAGTCACTGATTTTGTAGGTTGACTGTAATTTTAATCGGGTCTTTATGTCATTGTATCTGCCAATTCTTAATGAGTGTTTACTACGATAAAATATACCACGTTACTTAATTTTTCGATATGGATACCACATACGACGAATTTACAACGTGCCTAATTTTATTGAAATAATTCGAAAAAACAATCAAAATGCTGGAGACAAAGTTGATGTTATTAAATTTAGTACAACTTACAAAAACTGTTGACCATTCTACAACAAAGGTTAAATTGGCGAAGAAAGTTAAAGGATACCCTTTGCAGTTCTTGAGGGCAATTTTTTAAAACATTTATGGCATTTTGAATATGCCTGCTCAACTCTTCATCAGTCTTAGATGTGGAATGTGCCCCAAAGATTATAGTCGCAAGGTGTTAAATCTGGTGCAGTTAACAGCAGCGTTATCCCCTCGACCGATCCATCGACGAGGGAATCTTTGGTTCAGATACTGCCGGACATTTACAATGAAATGCGGTGGAGCGCCATAATGCATAAACCACATGTTAGCTATAAGTAATAACGTCACATCTTCCAATAACTCGAGTTTTGCAAAAGTTCTAAATAAAATTCCCCATTCAGTCTATCGGGTAGAATAATAGGGCCAATAATAATGTTATCAATGATCCCAAACCAAACATTGATGCGAAATTCATGCTGATAATGTTTTACTTTGATTGTATGAGGATTTTCTTGAGCGTACACATGTTCTTTGCGACTATTTATTATTCTCTTCTAGCAAAACAGAATTGGCAGGTACAATGATTTAAAGATCAAACTGAAATTACAGTCAACTTACAAAATCAGAACCTATTAGCACTTTGTTAAGTATTGTAATATGAGTGGCAAGTTAGCGTATACATTTAAAAAATGTCTTTTTGTACCCAAACCGTTCATTTAATTAAAATTTTACAAGAGGTCCAGAAACTTCTAAATGGGATCACCTATCAAATTAAAAATAGTTGTCATTATTATACGAAAGAGGAAAAAATTATGTAGGAGTTGTAAGTTTTAAAAACACTCTGAATAACACCAAAATGTGTAGATTGAAAACAAAATTTCACACCCCAAAAATAATCAAAATCGAATAATATGTAGATATTCGAGTTATTTACAAAATTCAAAAAATTTTCACGAACTCTGAGGCCATCTAACGGCCAAACGAAGCGATTTCAGATATAGGTGAATTAGCCTAAATCTGCCTATTTTGAGTCCACGAATCTGTGGTCTTCCGTTGTACACGTTATTCCGGGATACCCTGTATAAAGTACTTTTTCGCCGATCGACATTAAAGACGTAGTTTTAGTGACATCTAAACTGTCACATTTATTGTCTAGGCATTAGAATTGTTTTTATTGCCGCTAAACTCAAAATTAAAATTTGTTCTTTAACGAAAACAATTTTATTTGTAATTACCTTTGTACCAAAATACGCATAATCAGAGGCCTCCATTAGAATCTTTTTAATCTGTTCTATTTCTAAAACTCATGATTTTTTAGCACGATATTCATCCGATTGCCGTTCAAGAATGCTTTTAATTTTAGATACTTTCCAATATCGATGTTGTTGTAGACATTCAAAATAGCTCTGAGCATCGCGTATATTGACCATAATGAAGAAGATTTCATACTTTTGCTTAATTCAGAAAAATATGCCAAAGGTACATTTTCTGAAAAAGACAATGTTACTCCCGGCAATCAATAAATTTTTTATGTTGCTGATATATCTTCGATTTTTCTGGTAATAAATTACACTATATTTGCTGTGCTAATTCGATAATTTCTGGCGCAGTTAATGTCAATTTCTTCCTTCTCAAATAATGAATAGTTATTTTTATGGATTTAAATAGGAACAATATGGCGATTACTGTATACCTAAGTTATTTGCTTACTTACGCTCGTCTCATAGCAACCACAGACGACCTGATGAAATTATTATTATTCAATAAAGAAGTATCATACAATTTTAATAATATAAAATAAATAGCTTTGTTTGCTATTATGACAAAATCAAAATTGATCGGGCGTAAAGATTATGTGTGGGCAGTAAAGTAGATTTAATGCCTTTGCTGCTTTAATAGACTCGGCTGCGCCTCGTGTATTAAATACCAACCGCGACATTTAATCTTGTACTTTACTGCATAGTTAAACAAATAACTATTTCCTACAGTTGCTATTTAATGACTGCTTTTTGACATTCGATTTAATATTGAAATAAGTAATAATCTTTATGGAAACTATTATGTTATTTATACAGAGAGTGACATTATCGGTTGAATTAACGGTACCTGCTTGAATGACGTCTGACGATTGGATTTATTTTAAAAATCAACGCAACCAATCGATAATTTAAAATAGGAACGTAGGGATGGAAACCGCCCTTCGTCGCTCGTTCCTCCGCAAAGCGAATCCGTAGGCCGGGCGCTCCGTTTCACAGAGTTACAGAATGTTCGCCCTGAAATTTAAACGATGAAGTGTCGCCAGCTCGCTCGCTCTCTTTCCAAGTAACGAGAGTCTGACGTAGTGGCTCGCGTCACGGCTTCGTCACCGACACACACAAAATATTCCAAGTCTAGTCCAAGTTGTGTGCTTGAGGTGTAGTATGTCTTACGGTGTCTGTCTATGTGAAGCGTATCCATCGCGATAATCGAATCGAAGAAACGGATAGTGATTTGCGTGCGTTGTCCGCATAGTGATAATGTGAAGCTGCGTGTGTCGAGGTACACCGTGTGTGAGTGTAGTGGATGGTTCTTTTAGTGTCAGGGCCGGATTTAGCGCCGGAGCGTTGTTGAATGGCTCTTAGCTACCTTGAAGCGCGCAAAGTGGTGCCAAAATCAAAAGTATTCTTCGAGTTTACGAGTGTCCATCGGTGCCGTGGATGCGTGTCTTGATTTTCGTCGTAGAACACCTCGTTTAAAACAAACAATTGTCAAGGTTGTGCTCTAAACATAACTACGTAAATCCCGGTGCTTTGTGCGCATGTGTATCTTATCATTGTAAATAAATTTATGGCTGCAAAGTCGGTTTGGGGATTACTGCGGCACTGATCAAATGTTTGGATTAACGAGTTATGGATGCAGTAATTGATGGTACTGGATACATTTTTAAGGTGATTGGTTTTTAATTTACCACCGCTTCCGTAATTTTCCACCAAAGGAATATAAGGGGAAGGTGTTAACCAATTCCTCATTGGGATAGTCCGTAATGAGTCATATATTAATTTTATCGGTAGTGCATGTGTAAGGCATTAAAATCTGACATTTACTGCCGTGGCTGATATTGGAATATCACTGCTAATTTTAAGAACGGAAGTGGCAAATTGCAGCCAACTCCATAAGACGTTTTGCTTATATTAATTTGGGTATATAAAGTAACTTGTTAATTTTAAATAACTTGATAAACGTAGAGAATAAGAAGGCAGAAGATGAGGCAATTTATTTTGTTTTATACGGGGTTAGGGATCAAGGTTCTTGATAAGGGTTCGTTAATGCAGTTTTTCTCCTAGTGCAATTTTATGGTATATTACTGGTCTGCACATTACGACTGTAACTGAGGAGGCAAACGAAAATTGCATCACTAAATAAATTCCCGGCTTAAAATTGCACCTGTTATTACTTGTAATGGTTTTTTCAATGAAAACGATATGATTTTAAAATGAAATAAAATTTAAATTATTTCAAATACAACCAAATTTTTATATTATCTTAAAGTACAGTCAATAACATGTTTTGAATAACACATCGTTTAAATTTCCACCTCGACTTCGTCTACACGAGCAACGAACCCAATTTTCGATGACAATAAATCGGGCGTGATCTGACGAATGCAGCGTTCAATGTTCAATCTTAATGCATCAAGTGTTTGTGGTCTGTTTGCATAGACCTTAGATTTGAAATAGCCCCAAAAGGAGTTAAATCAAAGCTTCTTGGAGGCCAGTGGACAGTTGCATTCCTTGAAATTATCCTCTCATCAAACTTTTCTTGCAATACGTCGATAGTTTCATGAGCAGTGCGACATGTGGCATCGTCTTGCTGGAACCACATACCCTCCAAATCAAGTGCATCTAAATTTGGCCTCAAAGAATGTTTTTACATTGTCGGTATCGTTCACCATTCACTGTAACTGGCTTCTCGTGAATTTGTTTGCAATTTTGCTTGTTAACATATCCACTTAACCAGAAATGAGCTTCATCTGAAAAGATAATTTTTTCGCAAAACTAGGATGCCTTTCAAGTTGTTCTATCCAAGCAGCAAATTCTCGGCACCGACGATGATCCAGTGGCTTAAGTTTTTGGGTCAAAACAATCTTAATGGGTGTAAATTCAAGTCTTGCAAAAAAGCCTTAACTCTTGAGCACGTCGAGGAATTAATAAATTTGGATCCCCTGCGACACTAGCTCTTGCATCAGCAATATTCTCAACAGTTCTGGCATTTCGACGTCTTTCTGGTGTTTTTACATAGTGGAGAGTAAAATTATTTTCAAATTACTCAACGATGCAACTAATGACAAGCAAATAAGGGCGATTATTTGGACCAATGTTTTTTTTTGTCCAAATAGTCCATCTTTGGATAATAACCAAAAGTTCTTGAAGTGCCTATTTAGCCATAATAAATTGTTAGAGTATACTGAACAAAAACTAGTAGATATAATTTTATTACCATGGTTACCATATCGTTTCAAAATCATATCATTCTTATAGCATTAAAGGCATATACAGAGTATTCGCGTTGAAGGAGACAAAAGGTATATAATATTTTTTTATATTTCAGAAATTTCAATTATCATTTTAAAATAAATATACAAATCCTCTTCCATTAATGGTTGATTGTTGCTTTTCAATGGATACAGAGTTTCTTGTAGTACACACATATTGTAATATTGCTTTTTTTTCATATTGAAACTCAACAAAATGGAATCCAAACGACGCCTATGCATAGAAAAGTGCAGTATTTCATGCTCTTTAATAAAATTACACCTAACACCTAAACAATAGATTCTAAAGTCTTGTATCCACCTTAATATGAAAATTCTAAGTACGCCTATGACTAACATTTGTTTGAATGAATGAATGCAAGTTGTTTTACGTGTAGATTATTGACGTACCTTTTGAATTTATACAGCCTATATTGGACATGTTGTCATCGTTATTTATTAAATCCGTGTTAATAATATAATCAGTAGTTGTTGTCTTTATGTTGCGTAATTTGATTATTTATCTATAAAGTAACGGTGACTGATAAAAGCGTTAACCAACTTATGAGTACCTGCATTACCCACTATTTTAGATATGCACGTTTACTGTAATTAAATTGATGGATGTGACAGTTTTTAGGAAGATAATATGATAATTTTTTAGAGATAATTAACAAATATTTTAACGATGGCTTTAGGATTATTATCTAGTAATAAATGACGTCGGTAAATATAGGGGGAAAAGTTTTTCACTGAACAAAAATCATGTTGCGAATAAACAGTTAAGGTTCTTTGAATTATAAATAGAATGATTGAAAGCTAATTCAGTTACTTTTTTCATTTGTGATCAAATTTTCTAATTTTATTTGTTTTTTCGTATATTTGCCACATCTTCAAAAGCAACTTTTGGCATTAAATTTTTATAATTCTTCTTTTATATTGATTGATACCTATTACCAAGCCTATTACATACGTACCTTCATCAGTCTAATGAAAGTAGGCATCATTATAGCCTTGCTACAACAACTTTAACAAACTAATCTGAATTAACTATTTGAAATCCACATTTATATTATATATACTTTATAAATATATTTTTTTAATTTTTAAAATTTGTGTCGGTGTCGGTAAATGTGAAAACGTCCTTAGCTCAATGTAATCTAGCCTTTAGAGACAGTAAATAGTATTGTTGCTTATTGCATACAATGTTGCTAATCTTGATTTTTAACAATATTTTTATACAAAATTTGCAAGCAAGCGCCCTATCATTATCTGAAGATTGCATACCTGTTTGAAATAAATCCGGTTGAATTTATAAGTTTATCAAGAATTATTTAAGTATACTTATTCCGTTTCCGTAAATTAATGAAATATAATAGAGATTATTTAATATCCATTTCCCTATGACGTATTTATTATCTACAAAATTCTAAGATGTCCGCTTAATATGAAATAGGATATCAAGATTTATACTTCTCAAATTAGTAGTACCACTATCTATTAAGATATTGTAGGTATTTTGTCAAGTAGGTATGTTTAATGTTATCTGTGTGAAAACAAATGCAAATTTTTTTATAGGATTACATCATATTCTTTTAAAGGTCTATAGATGACAGATCACTTATACAGGGTGATTCCTAAGTATGTTTCAGTAATAATTTAGATTAATTATTTTAAGGAAAAAATCCTTATGAGCATATGCCTTAAACGGTGTAGTTTTTGAGATAGAAATTTTTAAAGAATACTTATCAACAAATTTCTCGAGAGATGTTTCACATATATTAATAAAACTTGGTCTGATAACTAAGTAAACTTAAAAGATCACTGAATTTGTATACAATTATGGCAATCAGTAGTGCAGATACCAGAAATACCAGAATTTCTACACCTCTGTTTATTTTGGAAACTCGACCATTGTATTTGATTCCTAATTATACTTAAAAAAGGTCTCTTCTATTTTATACAAAAGACAAATCGTTTTCGTGTTTATTATTTTTAGAATTATTTTCGATATTTTTCAAAAACCTTATATTTCTAAGCCGTTTAGGGCAGTTTTTTTTGCTCATAATACTCTGAAGAATCACCGTTATCTGAACCAGGATGTAAAGAAAAATAATATGTTTTTAGGACAATTTGTTTATCTATTCGAATATTCTATTGCATCATCCTCGCCATGTTTAAACTCAACAACCACAAACACTAAACTGGCAGGAACAAGTCGAATAAGCATTTCGAATACGAACTTTTGCTAAAAAAATGTTCGGTCTGTTCTTTGTGCTCGAGCTGCGCGTTTGATTCGTTCGGAATGGAATGACCAAATACATATAGGTACATGAAAGTAGGATTCAAACTATTCAATTTCTATCCAGTTGAAATATATAAACATTTCGCATTTATTATTATTTATTTTTCTCATTCGACAGTTAACTGTAAATGTAATTATGAATCCTGTGGTTGAAAATAAAGTATCCGTATTTATACATAATAGGGTCACTGTCATTTATAATAGAATAATGCCTCCTATTTGTAATTATTACAGTAACGAAAAGTAGAAAACAGATGGACGCGCCACTACATGGGTGTTGTAAACAGAGCAATAAATACTTTTAAAAATATCTTCGTGTTGATGTCACACAAAAAACTGTGTGTGGTGTGTGGAACAAATTGTAGCATGGTTGTTTACTATCGCATTTTTTCAATTCTATTGAAATTAAGTTGATGCAATAATCATTATATTTTGTGATGACTAATATTTATTATGTATTTAGTTGTCATTAACAACGCGTTAGCATAAATCGTAACATTATAAAAAAAATCACAAATAAGTGTGTTAATGTATAATATGAATTTTTGGCCTATCAGGAAAATCGAAATAAAGTCAGGGTGCCCCGTTTTCGAGATACAGAAAGTTAAAATTAAGATTTAATTTTTTTAAATAAATCCTTTGATTTTTAACACACTAAGATGCAATTTTGCACACGTTACTATGCTATGCCGTAGCTTTTTTGAGCAGTTGTGATTAAAAAAATCGAGGTGCAAGTAAAGGATATAGCTAATTTTTTCTCTTTTCCGTAGGTACTAAAAATACAAAAATAAACTAAGGCGTGCAATAAAAAAATTGCAGCAACAGATGGTACAGCACAATAACGCGTATGAATATTTAACAATTGTTAAAACAACGGCGTTACTTAAAAAATCTTTTAAAATCTCAAGTTTAACAGCCTGTATTTCGAAAACCAGGCGCCGAAATATAAAATGTCAAAAAAAGTCTCTTTATTTGCGCGAAAGGAATCTATAGTCAGTGGATTCGCCTACTAGCTTGTGACACCCTGTATATTCTAATTTATCTGTGTCATTATGATGTTTTTTGATAAGGAAATTATTCTAGATAGAGAACCGATAAACACTATAGAACCGAGTAATCAACAACTAGTACCGATTATTATGAATCCTTTGGTCCTTAAGATAACGAAATGTTAAAGTTTTTACATGTACAGCCCGTACAATATTTGTTAAGATAAAATTCCAAGAAAGTTCTGTTATAGAACTATTGTAACAATTTACCGCGACAGGGGCGTGCCTTGAAATTTTCCGCCAATGTTTTTCTACCTCGGGTGTCAACTTTTTTAAAAAATCACGACTTGGTTTGATATTTATAGCGTTACAATCTACTAGACTCACTACTATGTACTTGACTTGGTTTGAAGCAATTTAAATTTTATACCCATAAATCAATTTTCAATCCTCTTACAAAAATTTATATTTTTTTTGTGTCATTTGTGACTTTTGCAGTCACGAATTAGCAATACTTAAGTATCAGTATAAAATTATTTATTTAACATTACTTTAATTTGTTTTCTTGAGATGAAACCTTTTCTGGAATCAGTTGCAATTGTCGAATATTTTTAATCAACGTCTTTCTCTCAGTTTTCCAGAAAATTTTAATCTTACAATTAGTTTAATAAAAAAAAAATATTATTCAGTCATGCGCATTTGTATTTGTTATGGAGTTTATAGTGAAATGTAGAATTTCGATATTGTACACCATCTTTATTCAAATGAAAATAATAATGTAATGATAATGATTAATCTTATCTCATTATAACTATCTACCGATCAAGTAGGTATTAATGTATTATTTTCCGTGCTGTTTGAACATCGTTTCATTGTTTTTTTTTATACGAAGCTGTAGATACCTTAAATCGGACTTCATAAGATTAACATACGACTCTCGAACAGGTAAAACACGGAATTCCCTATGTACCAGAGTGAGCGAGTTGTGGAACTTTCCTAAAAATAAATCCTTTGTCAGACGTGATTTATTGAAGGCAAGGTTCGAAATTTATCAAATCCTGAGTTTGGTAAAGTATGTTAATGGCAGCCTTGGCCGCGTTCGCTCTTTGACAAAGAAGTAATACGTATGCCTGTACGGTTGTGACTGTACTATGCATGAGTTTGCTACAAATTGGTCCAATTTGTTAGATTTGTAACCAGAAATTACACTTAACCAGTCGTTTTCGTCATTTTAAACTGCTTAAATTCCGTTTGTGGGTTAGGAGTGACACTTTGAACTTTCGGAACAAGCGAAGTATGTGTAAAAATTTCACATACATATTTGGGATTCCCGAAATATGTATATACACGTCAGAAAAAAATATATAAACATTATTTCTTAACGTTATTAGTTATTAGAGACATAGAATATAGTTTCCTTAAATACAGTTTGTAACATGTGAATGCGAGATGGTCCATATACAGGGTGATTTAGTCTAATGTCATTCATTTTAATCGCGTGTCATTTTAAACCATAAGCAATAAGTCACACAATGAGATATACGTACTACAAATTGAATAATTGCCTACTTGAATATATGTAATACTAAAAATTCATATTCGATTATAAAACGTAGTGAAAATTAAATTGTTTTTATTGATATATAAATACTCGTTAATATTAGAATGTAAAAATATATCGTATTAAATTATTATTATTATTAAAAAAGCATTAAACGCAAGGTTAATGACCGCATATTACGGTACGTCAAAATTCATTGTAAATAAACCTTGGTGGGTTAGCGATCAGGAGCGGTTCTCAAAGGGCTTTAAATAATGATTTTAAAATATTTTTTTTCAGCATAAATATCCATTTTGAAATTTTTTTAATCAGCATATTCGTATTTTACTCATTTCTATCTTCTCTTAAAATTAATGACATTATGTATATTAAATTTTGTTCTAATTAAATAGTTTTAAAAATATGTATTACTTTACTTTTAATTAATTTTATAATCTTTTGTTAATCATTCAGTTTAAATTTTGGAAGATTAAGAATATACAGGGTGTCCCATTAATATTGTGGAAAAATTCAGGGGGAGTTTCCTAGGTCAAATTTTAAATTTTAAATTATCAGGTTTGTCCCGTTAAATTTTCACGTAGAATTCGATAATGCCATAAAAATATAGTTGGTACCTGCCCAGGAAAAACTGAACACCCTGTATATGCAAATATATGTATTTTCATTTTGTGCAGCTCGGGGAAATAGGCAACTTTGTAGAAAAAAAAATTAAGTTATATCTTTTATTAACCTAGATATTAGACTTACGCGCACTAGGTGGCCACGGTGTATTGGATTTCAAGATCTCATGATTTCCATGATGTTAGGCCGAATCAGATGATCTCTTAATCGTCTTTAAACGTTGAGTGAATGAGTTATACGTATTCACTCAACGCTTTCAATCAGTATCCTAAGCATGTTCAATGAGATTGAAGTCTGGACAGACCATAGCGATTTCGAACTTCCATTAGTGTATAAAATATTTGCTTTATGTGCACTAGTAGAGAAAGAGTTAAGCAACACGTCCGGAAACGAGTTTTAAAACACTACCAAAAGTCAAATTGTCAGTTTGTTATGTTTAAAGCATATTGTACTCTTTCTATTAACAGTTAGTAAATCTGTACAGTTTCTGATTTAAACTAGAAATTCTTACGTAAATGCAACTGATGATCCTAAAATTTAAATTCTGTCACGTATAAATTTCAAATTTACAAGATTATGCATACCACTTCCGCATGACTTCCACAGGTCTTGTGAGAAATCGAAGAGATTTCTCAGATTCTAATACCACTTTCGATACTTGTACTGTTCAACCATTAAACGAGTAACATTAATATTTTCACATCATATCATCATTTTCAACTTTATGCCGCTGAATTTGCCTTATCAACAGGCGTTAGCTTAGCGCAATCTAAATTAATTAATGATTATGTGAAAACACTTCCGGACAAAATTGTTCCACCACTTTTATGTTGTTTATTAAAATGTCATATCTTGTCTGATTCGAAACTAAAACATTAAATATTCCGAAAAAAGCTTTTGTTATGTAAAAATAAAATTGATCAGTGTCACGATAAATTTGTTGTAAAAATATAGTGTGTTTTCTTGAAACAATTTAACTGGTGATTTCCGAGGTGATTTCTTGGCATTCGATCAAAAAAATATTGCTTGATTTCGAAAAAAACATAGTGCATAACTAAAATATGTGATTTCGCTAAAATATAATTTATATTTTCTAATTGTGATGGTAATTTTTCTCATCCTAGATAGCATGCATGAAATTTTCAGTTTGATTACCATTGGCTTCCAGATATTGTCAAAATTACAGTTTTTTTTAACTTTGACAGCCGGTAGATTGTATTTATGTTTGTCGTGAAACAAGGAAACGATTTTTCGCCCTAAAATTATTTTATATGAATTATTCGTAAATGTTTTAACTTAGTTAAGGTGGTGGTTGTGTCCGCCCTAAACAGATCACCCTGTAGTTCACTTGTTGATGTGTACCCGTTTCTGTTGCAGCGTGGAAAGAGACCGCCTCCGTGAGCGGGAACGGCAGGCGAGGGCCCAGATGTCTTCTCAAGTAGCGGATCAAGAAAGTCCGGGCACTTCCGGAAATTTCTTGTTTAGAGAACCCATAAGGGTAAGTGTACTTCTGTATTCCTTCCTTTTCTTTCACAGCCTAGTTTGGCAGTTGCGAGGACATTGAAATTTTGTTCGACTATAAGTAGTTACAAATTATAAAAAGATACAGAATAATTTTTATTAAAATAAAAAACATTTTAAGTATTTTACATTGAAGGTGTTAAGTCTAAATAATTCTGAAATGTTTACCAGATGTTTATCAAATTTAATAATGCGTATTCGTTAATATTAAATATCTAAACGTTAAAAAACTAATAGCCTCACAAACAAGCTCATTAATAAATTAGAGTTTGGGGTTTTCGTCGGCTAGTCATAGGCGTGTAAAAAATTAACAGGTAGGTATAAATAAAAATAAATAAATTTGCCTACTTTAAGAGCGAAAGGTCGTTTTTTACCCCTTGGCGCGTTGGATATTAATAGAATATATTAAAATACGAAACCAATAACTGCCGTTATTACCGGTTTCGTATAGTGCGCTGTACCGAAAGGCTGACGCGACGACTATGATCATCCGACTTAGTCCCGAACTCTATTAAATTATTTAAGTAAATAATGAATTTAAACAAACAATACATATTTATTAAATAATGTTGCAAACCCATAATACAAAGAATACAAGATAGGATATTCCCGTGAACCAAAATCGGTAAGTTTGGCGCATGACGTCAGCATTTTGAAACGACAATAAAAAAACTATATAACTATTAAAAAATTAAATTTGAATTAAAATATGATAATTTTAAATTGAAATAAGATAGAAACACATACGCAAAGTATAGAAGACAAAAATATGAAATTGAGATGAATTGAGGACTACGGACTACAATTTGTGTTTTGATTTATTTTATATATTACATCAGCCAAATTTCTTCCTCACGACATGACGGGTTATATGTTTTCTTAGGGGCCTTTCATTTTTCATATTTTCACGTTTATTTCGGAGAAACCCTTATGCTACAGAGTTATTCCCAAGAGTAAAAAGAGAAGTGTTTTTTAAATTTATGCTTACATTTATTTCTTGTGCTTGTACATTTCTTGTTTAATTATTTTGAATTTTCATCAAATGAAATATTTATACTCTAGTAACTATACCTTTATGTATTTATATTTCATAATATTCAGACATATCTTAAATATATTTTTAATATAATTTGAAGAAGCAGTCCTTAGAACTCAGTAATATGTTTATTTATTTAACATTTATCAAATCGTGCTATTCTTTGTCTCAGCTAGGCGCAAGAGTACAACTTAATTTCTTTGAAAATTTTGATATACGTTTTAATATGATAAGTACATACAAGGTTCACAACTTATCCAAAAAAAGTTGGGAATAGATGCGGCATGAGAAATGGAGTCAATAGCGTAAAAAAATTTTAATCCTTATAGTTTCCGAGAAAAAAAATTATTGAAGTTGTAGTACATTCAACCATTACATAGCTGAACAACTGTAGTCTCTAGCGTCATTCGTAATACGCGTGAAAAGCCACGGGGCCTCAGCGATTCCGAATACTTAAATCCGTTTTACAATCGTCGTTACGATAGTGTTTACCTGTTGTCTGTGGTGTTTACAATAGTTTTTTAGTAGTTAGTGTCAAAAATGATTGCGTGTATAGCAACTTGGAGTTGATAGATATCGTTTTAATTTATGGTGAATGAAGACAACATTTGTGTTGGTTCGTAGAAACTGAGTAAGACAGACCCAAATGCGTTTACACGTCGGTGGATAAAATTTTGAGCAGTTGTTAACATCGGGTATGTCATATTATTTTTTTATTTAAAAACAAATTAATTTTATTAATTAATAACGACAATAGAGGCAAAATCAGTTGAATTTGCTGATATAAAATAGGTGCTATAAAATTCTATTTATTTCTTTCCTTGCAAAAGTTTTTGTCCGTTTTTATCACACTTTGCCGCCATGCCGTTCGCATTGTGCGAGGTCAGGTTTTAAAGTAGACCAGTTTCCAGTGCCGTGCGGAAATATATTTTTAAATCATTCTCGAACTGCCCTTTTTGATTTTTTTCTTTACAAAATTGTATTTGTAAGAGTCCCCTGTATACACAATTTTTTTGGATAAGTTCTGAATCACTCTGTATATTTATTATCATGATTAGTACAATTTGTGGTTCCTTTAAAATGCACAAAACATTTTTGGTATCATTTATTTTCCTTTCAAAGTAACGTGAAAAATGTGAAATAGTTCCTGACATAACGAGATATTATTTAACGATGTACCTTTCTGTTTCACACAGTTAAACTTAATTAAATTAAAATACGTATTATACTGTCATTAATATTAGTAGAAAATGTTACTTAATTTGTTTTAATTAAATACTAAGAAGTTAAAGATCTTAATTAAGGATATTTGATTATTTTGATAAATTGATTATGTATCTATCTAAAATTATGTTAATACTTAATTTCCTGTCGTTTAAAAGATAAGATAAAATGAAAAAAACACACTGCTAGTCCTTTTTAAAGCTGAACTCTACAATGAATGAATATTAGTATTTTATTGCCCTTCAATAAATTCCTCTATGAAGTATAGATAATTGATATTTGTTTTTCTGTGAAATATTTTGAATAATATAATACACGCATGAATATCTTGCATATCCGAATGGTGCAAAATGAATTTAATTTTTATGAATTGTTTTTGAAAAGCACATCCTAAAATTTTTTATACAAATGTTTGGTGTGTATTTAATAAACAGCCAAATGACGTTCGTAAAAAAAATGCGATTGTTGTTGTGACTTACTGGAAAACCTGTGTTTATACCACTGAAGAAACAAAAACATCTAACTTAATGCTACTTTCTCTTTATTTTGCATTTGTAAAATATTTACAATAGTAGTGTCTCCCTGATTAATTCAATAAAACGGTAACAAAAATTTAATATTTCGAGTTTTGGACGAAACAAGTAAAGTATTTTAAATACGCGTATTAATTACTGTGATCTATTACGACATAATTTCAAATTTATTATAAGCAGAAGAATAAATACTAAATAAATTTGATGAACCTGTTCGTTAATTTATAGTCATTACAAAAATGAATAATGCAGGAATATGTAATAAACAGATTTGTTCAGAAAGGTCACATAACTCATAATTTCGTTCCAGAGCAAATTTATTGAGTTTCATCACGCGAGTTTTTTTGCTGTGTCTTAGGCAAAGCTCACATAATTAATTTAGTTAATTCAAATAGAGCTGTCGTCTTTAGAAATCCGGTATTATCTTCTTGTTGACATCTATAACTTTTTCTAGTTTATGTTATTTATTTATTGTAATAGTATTCAATAACAGGGAACCTAGTTACAGGATACAGAGAAAATATACGTAGGATAGGTTTGTGTCGAATATTAGTGAATAGAATAAATAATAGAAATCTATAAAAGAAAAACATAAATATGTTAAAACACTAATAATTATTTATTATTATTAGTTAAATTAAATACATAAATAAATGCTGATGATGAGTTGCACTTATACCACCTAAATGGGGATTGTTTTTTTTTTCAATATTATGCGAACAAATCTGGCCACAAATTGGCACAGCGCTTATATTTATATTAAAGATTAGATTACTCATTACCTTGTAGTTATTTTTAGGGCAAGAATGTACATTATTCAAGAGCTTTATAAAGTTGTAAACAAAAACATTTGATCGTCATTTGTTTTTAAAATAATCAATTCCATTCGAGTTAATTTTATCAATTACCTACAACTTCCGTATGAATATATTGATATGACCTGAATATCTTTGGATTTTTGTTTCAAATCATTAATTGTTTTCGTTCTTTGGGTATCTTAAGATATAAGGATATCATTTTGACATTAGTTTTAGAGATTGTTCGCATCTCAACTTGTACATACTATACAGGGTGCTTCTGAAATAAGTGCATTTCCTTGAAAACGGTGATAGGAGTACGAAAATAAGCTACTTTTATTGATAATCTAAATATTACGTTTTAAATTGAAAAAAAAAATTACATGTTAGAATTTTGTTTTATTTCTTAAAACAATTTGGCCATTCTTCCCCAAGGGGTAAGGCAAATACAGGAGCCCCCTCCGAAATTTACTTAAGCCAGCACTGAACGACGGTCAAAATTTTGTCACATCAAAAACACTAAACAAAAAAGAAAACTTAAAATTAATTATTCTTTTAATTTTGACTTTTATTTGTTTAATAGAAGGTAGATTGCATTATTTTTTTTCCTGCATTTAATTTCTTCAAAATTTTTGTTGAATTTAGTTCATCTGCTGCCCAATTTTTCCAAATTGCCTGTTCCCCTAACGGTGACGATTGCTAAGGTGATCTGGAATTTCTTGATTTGTTGGCCTGAAATGTCCCAATTCAACTCGTCTATGAACCGAACAAAGAGGTCGATAAATCGTCGAGATAGGCGAACAATTAACCGACCCTGCTTTAAAGTGAACTCCGGGTCCGCGTCTGGAGTTTTCCTTAAGGACTTCGGGCGCCGTCTCTCCGCCTCCTAACCATATTTACTTATAATATGGTAGAGAGCGTTGGTCCGTGTGCCTTACCCGTGAAATTAATTAATCAGTATCTATTAGTAACCTCGAATCTTTCGGGGAAATTCCACCTGTAATACTGAGAGTTGCGAAACTGTCGTCGATGTAAACCAATTTATTTTCTAGTAGTTGCGTTTAAATATCGAGGGACTTGTAATTAGAGGGAGAATATACAATTAGGGACTAGCTTCGATTAAGAATTAGATCGTTTTAATCTTAGATAAAAATTATAATATTTATGCGTCAATTGTTTGAAAATAAACCCAACCAACAAGGTGTTACGTAATCCAGATAATAATGTATAGAAATCTAAAGAAGTAAATAATTATTATATTTAAAGTATCTAATTAACTTAATTCTTAATCAATTTCGCGAAACAAAGCCAGCAATTTAGGAAAAATATCAAAAAAGCTGTACCATTCACAACGTGTTTTTTTTCTGTCCTAAACTTTCTATTTATA